AATATAAATAGTGCTATTATTTAAAAAAATATATATAGATAAAAAATTAAACCAAAAATTTAATACTTTTAAAAAACAACAAACTTAATCCAAAGGTGTGTTGAAAAAATATGACAAAATTCTCATGGCAAATGCCAATGTTTTCATTTTTGTCAAATGTAAATAACGGCAAATTGTGTACACTTGCAAAAAAAATAATACAATGTATACTATAGTTTTTTTTTGTTAACATTTTGTGATGTTATAGATAAAATTATGAAAAATAAAAAAGTTTAAACGTATTGGAAAAGATATTAACATATTAACAAGAAACCAAAAAAGTGTATAAATTAAAAAGAAAATACATTTTTATTGATGTTAAAGGGTAAAAAACAAATAAATATGTATGCAATGTACTGAAAAACAAATAAAATTGTGTTATACTATTTTTTTCAACTAAACGACGACAATTCTACTTTTTTTTTGTATTCTCAGCTGGTTACGAAGTTTTCTCCATTAAAATTCGTTGGCAACAGTTTTTTACTATTATTCCTGGAGTACTACACAAAAACTTTTGTTTAAAATTTAGTTTTGTAAACTTTTTCAATATGTGAATTATTAAGGCACTTGAGTTTTTTTAATTATTACGTCACTACATTACCTTAAGTGATTCTTGTAAACTATAACATCATAAAGATAATTTACACTTTGTTAGAATTTCCCCCACCAACCTTCAGTGAACTGTTTTTTTTTTTCTAATTCTCCCCTTCTCTAGTGTTTGTTTTTCTTTTTAATCTATAGCAGGCACCGTTCATTCTAGTTAATTTTTTGTATAAACAAGGCTGCCAGATTTGATTATTTAACGGCTAAAATGGCCAAAAGGTTATTGTTGGAAACAAAAAAAAAAGTGCTGTTTTTTCAGAATAAAAACAATTCAACTATTCAAATATTAAATGGTTTGTTTGGTGACTTTAAAATTTTTCAATAAGATTTGAAATTTTTTATTTTATATACAAATCACCAACTCCTATGTCAGGTTCCCTCTATGCAATTATTAGTAATTTGTAATACATACACCAATTAAGAATTTCAAGTCCGAATTACCTTATTCCTACGGTAAATTGTCAAATCGAATTACGAATCTTTCGTGAGAGCTGATTATTTCGCAAATTCCCATAATAACATTATATTATGTGCTAATCTGGCAACTTTTCAGAAGCTATTTCAAATCTATAATCAAAGTTTTATCCAACTTGTGTGTTTTCTTAGTACGTAACAACGAAAAAGAATTCAAAAAGCAACACAAATATGTATATAAATACAAATTTTTAAAACGTTCGTATCGTCGAACGTTAACAATACACACACCAATGCAATAACATTAACGGCTACGACATCATAAACATCAACGACAACAAAGTCATGACGTCATTTCATATAAATAACAAAACTAGAGCTAAACGAAGTCATGCTGAATTTAATTATGTACATACTACTACATACTATGTATTAATAATAATATTGTTATTTGTGCTTCATCAGAGCGATAACAATAATATTTTAGTTTGTCAAAGCGTTTGCAATTTCTCTAATTATACCCTACACCACTTTAGTGGGGAGGGTATATTGGATTTGTGCTGATGTTTGTAACATACCAAAATATTCGTCCTAGACCCACCTTAAAGTATACCAATCGGCTTAGAATCGTTTTCTGAGTTGATTAAGCTATGTCCGTCCGTCCGTCCGTCCGTCTGGCTGGCTGGCTGTCCATGTAAACCTTGTGCGCAAGGTACAGGTCGCAATTTTCAAGATAATTGGATGAAATTTGGCACGCACGTTTTATTTGACCTAAGGACGAAGCCTATTGAAAATGATTAAAATCGGTCCATTATTTCACCTAGCCCCCATACAACAGAACCCCCCGAAAAGGGCTTCTGAGCTCATAATTATGTTAAATATATAGATATATCGATAAAATACGGCATAACTAAGTTTTATAGAAGTCTTGATGACCCTGCCAAATTTCATAAAGATCGGGCCACATTTGACCCTAGCTCCCATACAAAGTCCCCTTCAGAAAATTACTTGAATGTCCCAAATTAGCTTATAAACCCAAATATCGCGATGAAATTCAGCACAATAAAATATTATGTCAATATAAATATATTCACAAAATTTTATCGGGCTTGGTCCATATTTGCCCCTAGCCCCCATATAAAGCCTCTTTCAGAAAATTAGTTTTTCATCCATAAATTGTAGTAGGGTATCATATGGTCGGCCACGCCCGACTATAATTTCTTACTTGTTTTTATTGTAAATTATTGATAAAGTTGTGAATATTTTATAAAAGTTTTAATGGAAAAATATTCTAATAAACCATTGATAACTTTAGGAAATCGCCAATAAATGTCCGCAACACCTGCAGTTCGGGGTGTCATTTTCTATAGTGTTATTTCATTTGCGTTTAATTTTAATACAATACACCACTTTAGTGGGGAGGGTATATTGGATTTGTGCTGATGTTTGTAACATACAAAAATATTCGTTCTATACCCACCTTAAAGTATACCAATCGGCTTAGAATCGTTTTCTGATTCGATTAAGCTATATCCGTCCGTCTGACTGGCTGTCTGTCCATAGTCATCCAGCGTAAGTCAACCTTGTGCGCAAGGTACAGGTCGCAATTTTCAAGATAAGCCTATTGAAAATAGTTAAAATCTGTCATATATTTCTCCTAGCCCCCATACAACAGAACCCGCCAAAAAGGGCTCATAATTATGTTAAATTTTTTGTGTGGACATTTGTTTTGATGCAGTAGGTATATTATAATCAACAATAAAATTGATTTTGAATTTTTGGTTAGTTAGATACATACATACATACTTATTTATTTCCGCAAACATTATACCTATATGTATCTTTGAAGTTATCACTTTAGAACGCCTTTATTATTTGTTTCGTCAATTTTTGCAACTACAAAACTCATAAGATAAAAAAATAGTAGTTACGTCTTTTCGTCAAATAGGTATTTGTTAGGTGTGAACGTACCTTTAGGAATTGTTAAGCCGTCATTTGTCGCAATTATTATTTTTTTTTGAAAAACTTTCAATTTTCAATGAAAAGTTCCCATAGGAAACAAAAATTGACTTTTTGATTGTTTGATAGTCGATTTATAGTATCCTATATAAGCCGGTTTCAAACTACCGCATTGTTGTGTATGGTACGGGACGGATTTAGAAAATCATAAACAATTCTTCAGTAAGCACAAGATTGTCGATCTTTTACGAAAGGATTATCATTTATTTGAGAGTTCGGCAAAACATATAAGTTTCTAGAATTTTAGACACCACTGTTATTTTTACGAGTACAAAAACCTCACACTTTCAGATCCTCTACATAAGTATGTATGTATATCAGCATTTTTGCTATAACTTTTTTTATTATTATTATTTTTTTTCTCAATACTAAAAAGTACAAAACGATGATGAAGAAATAAATGCATGCGTCACTTTATCAAAATATAAGAAAGCAAAAATAAAAACAAGAAAAACACCAACAATAAAAAAAAATAAATATTAAAAAATAAAACAGACAGAGGAGAATGATCATAATACATGTGCATATTTTTCATCTCATATAAACACGATAAAAACGAAACGACGGCTGGCCTCCACTCACTCCACTGAACACAAACAGTACAAACCACTTGATTAGGGAAAAATGAAATTTGTGCATTTTAAAAGAATTAGAAGTACTGATTAAGAAACAACCATCTTAGCTTAGTTAAACCGGCTTAGCTTATTAAATATACATGGTTACTTCCTTGAAATACCCACCAGACGCATATATGTATGGATGTAATCGAAATCTATGAGGAGTCAATTGATTTATTTTTGTGTTAAAATAATAAACAGCTAATTCCTTAATTTGACTAATTGATAAATGCGAACTGTTTCAAAGAATTTCCTGTCTATACCGAATAACAATTAGCTCCTTGTGATTAGTGCTTGACTTAGTGAGTGAATTCTTTCTAAATTATTAGGGGTCTCAGGCACTTATTAAACAAATTGGGGTATCTTCTCTTTAGATTACTTGGGACAAACTCATTTTGGTTCCGCAGTACTGATTCGTTATTCTTTTCTACTGAAAATTATTTATTCCTTATTCAATTAATTTGTATTTATTGTACGTCGTTGCAAATACATATACATATAAACAAAATTGGCAACTACATACATGCATATGTATGTATATACTTTTATTTACATTCATTTACAGATGTATAAATATTCATAGATCCATTGCATGTAAATATTATGATACCATTACAACTCCAGCTTGTTGTTTACATTCATAACACACAACATTGTGACGACGATCCAAGCGATAAATAGCCGGTCATAAGTAACAAAATATGTATAATTTTTACTGAAAACAACTGGCGAAAACTTGGTCAGCCAGTCAGAGCAGTTAAAAACATTTGACTCTTGGTTGGAATAACATTATTTTTGCTGGTGATAGAAATGACGATAAAGTCAACAACGTTGAAAATCGTTAACTTAAACATTGTTGTTACTGCTGTTGCCGTTGTTATTGTTGCTGTTTTCTTTTCAGTTGTTTGTTGATATTGTGTTTAGGTGACTCATACGCGCAAAAATATTGTGACGATTACAAACAATATAAACGAGTATTAATTTATACATTGTGCGAGAATTTATAAAATATCTATAGACATTCACGCGAAAATTTACTCATACACATGTGCATACATACATATGTAGATACATTATAATCTATAGATACTCGAATATTTTAATAAAATACCTATACGTTTGTTTCAAAAAGTCTATGTTTGAGAGTGTTTGTTTGAACAAAAGTTTTCATTCTTTATTCCTACTTAATATTTTTGCTGTTAAACTAGCAACGACTGCGCATTGTAAAATAGTATTACAAATAAACTCAAAAATCATAGAATCAAACATTGTTTTAATATTCAGTTGTTTTCTTCTCTCTTTTTGTAGTTAAACAACATTCAAACTGGATAAATTAAAACATTACGTCATTATTTGGACCTCGACAGTAGGAACAAAACCACCGCTGTTAAGAAAATCTAGACAAAATCACCACCGATTACGTCCCCGTTCAATTAAATTCGAGCCAGTTTAATTTAAAGTGTAGTTCGCTGTTTGGTGTAGGCTCGCGTGTAAACACGCAATTAATTACAGCCTTAAATCAAATATCAGCTTAAATAACAAAAACACACTCTGGCAGAAACACGTTGATCCACAGAGAAAAAAATTAGAAACACTTGGATCGCTGAAAGACACGAGGAAGAGTTGTTGGTTGGTAGTCTAACTGAAACTGAAGTGTTGTCTCTAACAGCTAGAAAATATCCAAACTGAAGCAATTGTCGGAAGACGTGACGGTGCTGTTGAAGATCGAAAAAATGGACAGCATCGTAGAGGAGAATGGCAACTCCTCAAATAATATTGATGATACAAACACATCGGGAGCTGGTGGCGGAGGAGTAGGCCATAATTTAACTATAACAGCGTCACAACAAAATCCCCAGCAGCATCCATCCCAACAACAGCAACAACCTGCAGCGGTACAATCGACACAACAACAAATAAATTTAACAAATTCAAATAGCCAAAATATAGCGCCTCCACCACAAAACCAGGTTCCCGTACCAGCCTCAGTGGCTGCTGCTGTAGCCGCTGGTACCGTTTTAACCACCACCTCAAATGTTGTACAATATTTATCCAATAATCCACATGGTCTGCCGGTTTGTACAAAATATTAATGTTATTTTATTGCATTTTTATTAGTTTTTATATTTTTTTTTTTTTAGGTGCAATCCGTCATACAAGCAGCCAATCAATCTTCGGTTATACAAACTGCTGCCGGTAATAATACACAGACACCTGTTGCCATACCCAAGGGTGTTTTATTTGTTAATAAACCAAATACTACTGTTATACACACAACATCAGGCAATGCTGTCCAAGTGAGTTGATTTTTGTTTCTTCGTACACTTTTCTCTCAAATCGATACTTAATCCAAAGCATTTTAATCATGTTTTAAAAAGCAATTGGCTTTATGTTACATTTGTTTTTACTAAATTTATGTATTTGAATAATGTTTCGAATATATTGGGAAAATGTAAATCCAACTTTTGTTGTTATTACTGCAAATACTTCTTTTTTATTTGTATTTTTGAAAAACTCTTATTATCGGTCTAAACGACATTTTAAATTTTTTATGAGAATTTAATTTTTTATTTTAAAAATTATTATTTATTATTATTATTATATTTTTTATTTTTCGATTCTTTTGATTTTTCGATTCGAATTAATCTAAAAACATTATTCCAATATATACACTTAACCCCATTCATTACATTATTATTTTATGAAATAAACTATTTTTGTTTTTTTTTTTTTATTCCAAAACCAAAATTGTTCATCAATTCATCACAAACAAACAATCACATAAATAACAAATTGCCAAAAACACAATAAAAATTTAGCTTCCTCCACATTTTCAATGCAAGATAAAACCAGAACCGAACACACACCACCTCGACACAAACAGTGAAGATAGTTTTACTGATGAGGATTCTCCACGCGGCCGAAGAGAACTTACACGAAGACCTTCGTACAATAAAATCTACTCGGAAATAAGTGGTCCCGATATAACAGGTAATTATTAAAATAGAATATTTTTATTTATTGAATTTACAAATAAACAAATCATCATGTATGTAATGTGTCTGATTATCATTTATTATGGCGTAAAGTTCGTTTCTTAGTTTTTTTTTACTCAATACACCACCTTCACCATCACAGTTATTATTGTTATATTGACGTTAAATGTTTATTCATGATTTCATTAATGAAGTTTCAGTTTATAAATATCCGAAAAATCGAATCATTTGTTTTTAATTACTCTTAAATATCATTTTCTTGCATTTGTAATTAATCATAATCATTTTTTACATTCATAATGATACCATTTCGATAATGAAACAATTGTTTAAGTTGTGTGCTTTTGTTTTATTTTTATACTTTCAAGTTTACATATAAAAATTTTATAATTTTATTTTGCAAAAGTTATTATATTGAGAACAAGTGTCTCTGTTCCATTTTGAAATGGTTTCATTAATTTGTAACATAATCTCGTTTATTCTTATAATAATCATTTATAGGCATTTATAGGAATGGATGTCTTTTTCATCATATATTATGGCTGCGAGTTCTCTGACGCTTATTTATTAATTAATCTTCTGTCTGTCCTAAATTTATTTGACATTGCTTATGCTTAATTTGACAAAATGTTTGATCGAGTAGGAAGACTGAAATTATAGAATATGAGGAAATTTGTTAAAACTTTCTGAAAGTTGTTTTCTCGAAATAGTCTTCAAGCCATTATTCTCAATGAAACATTTCAATAGTTAGGTACATAGTTACTTTGAAAGAAAGGGTGTTGGTTCCCATCGGGCCTGTTGTGTGCTCCTGGTGGTAATCAAAGCCACGATCTGCGTCCTAACTGACTGCAACACTAACTACTAACCAACCAACCGGAGGCATATTTCAGTATCTATTGGATACTTTTATCTATTAAAATGGCAAAAGTGACTCAATACTTCGTTAGTAACAGATTAATGATTTTTGTTGCTATTCTTGCAAATATAGTACGATATAATGATATCATTCATTTATATTGTTGTAATTTATTGAAATTAAAATAAAGCTGAAAATTAGGCTGATGACAAAACATTTTATTAAAAAAGATAAAAACTTTGACAAAAATTTTGGAATAGATCTTATTTTTTTTTTTCAAAATATTATAAAAACCAACACCAAAAAAACACTTTTTGAAATTTGCAAAAAAAAAAAAGTAAAGTCTCATTCCTTCTTCAATATAAATCATTATTTCATTCGTTTATATTTTACCAAAAGAAACAAAAAATGTAAGAGTACTCGTTCTAAAAAACATTCATACATACTCGTTAATTATAATAATTATTACATATAATACACATCAAATTATTAATAAAACACATTTCAAACATTTGAAAATCACCTCAAGAAGTGGACAAAATATAGTAATACACCACCTAGCTTTTACAACGTAGACGTATTAGGATTTAAACCCTCTCTATTTTTCTGCACACACTATATTACTTCACATCATGTGCTCTTTATTATAACAACTATTATACTCGTATCTCATTAAATGTGTTTTTGTATCAAATCAATCAAATCAAACAATCAATCAATCAGTCAACAATTAATTATTTTTAAAATCAAATAAAATCACTACTACTTACTTTAATAAAACCTACATACGAAAAAATATCAAGCGACATTAAAATTGTATGTAAAAATTTGTCTGTATATTTGTTGTTGGGCATTACAAAAATCAAATCAAGAATTTATTAACACCAAAACGCTTCTACTCATTATTATATAAAAATTAAAAATAAACACATTTAAACAATTTAATGTTTATATTACTAACTAACAACTACTACTTACTACTCGTATTGATTGACCCTTAAAGTTCGAAACAAACAAAACGAAAAAAAAATTAATTTAAATATTTTATGTTTCTTCTTTTTTTATTTTCTAAACCAACTTTTTTAAATGGGATATAAAATATTAAAACTTACCAAAAACTCCACAACAAAAAAAAAAACACTACCACCATAAAAATATAAACTTGCAAAACGAAACAAAAACAATACTTGAAAACATTTCAACTCTAAAAAAAACTCTTACATTTAACATGAAAACAAACAAAAAAAAATCGTATCATAATTATTTTGAAAAATGAATGATTAAGCTGGAACGAATATGCAAATGTCAGAAAGTGTTGGTTTACCCGCCTTGGCACCTAATTCGGCAGGACCTACAGCTGGTTCCCTAATACATTTACCGCCAGAGAACACGTCAGCATTTTATTTACCCAATAGAATGCCATACAATCCTAGTAAATATCCTTGTTTTAGTTTCGTTTGATTTCTTTAACCCGCAAGGTTTTTTAACTCCATTTTCTTTAATTTTATTTGTGCAATTACAGACAACAATGTCATTGCCGAGGATCAGACGAGAAAACGTGAAATACGCCTGCAGAAGAATCGGGAAGCGGCCCGCGAGTGTCGTCGGAAAAAGAAGGAATACATCAAGTGCCTGGAGAATCGTGTGGCGGTGCTGGAAAACCAAAATAAAGCTCTGATCGAAGAGTTGAAATCGCTCAAAGAGCTCTATTGTCAAACCAAAAATGATTGAGAAAAACCTCCCAGTCTAGAACACGAAACCATTGTTAAAGTTATTGAAGAAGACGAAGCTCATGTAGGCGGAACAAATGCAGAGGAGGAGCAGGAACTAGAACAAAATATCGAATTAATTGTTAATAAAAATGTGGAGATGAAGCAGCAACTGATGGTTGTCGAAAATGCTGTTGCGCAGCAGCAGTACGAACAAGAAGAGGAAGAGCTGTTGGTTATTAAACCCAGTACTTCGTCAGCAGCCACATCTTCTGTTATAACTTTAGGCAATGGTCGTTTTCTAGATATCACAAAGTCATTGCTTTTACGCAAAGCCCTGGTGGAGGATCAAAAGCAAGAAGTTGTAGTTGTCTGTACAACATCAACTCCTACCGCCTCTTGCATACGACCCACTACCTCGGCTGGAAACGATTGTGAACCTGATTAGAAGTTTAATTAACTCATTGTCAAACAAAAAAGCAAAAAACCTAAAAGCTACACAAGAAATCTACACAAATAAATCAAATAATAATAATAATACTTTAAAATAATTTATTTAAAATAAAATTAAAGAAAATTGTACATATATAAAACATAAAAAAGTCAAGTTTAAACTTAAAAGAAATAAAATAAAGCAGCTAAAGCTTCATAGAAAAAGAGCAAACCAATTTAATGTTGCATTCTTTTAAAATAATTAAATATTAAAAATAATATTTCAGAAGGTATTGCTGCATTTTTATGAAGTTTTTGCTGCTCTTCTTAATGTTGCATGTTGAGTTTAATGTGTCCTTTACCTTAAAGATCGCATTACACTCTTAATTGCTTGAATTTTAAGATTTATTCAACTTAAATGTTGTCTATCTATATTTTCTCTATACTCTATACTTTTTTGTATATTTTTTGTTATTAAAATTACGAAAAAGATGATGAAATGTTTATTGTTATAAAGAAAAACAACAAGAGTATAATTTATTTTTAGGCTCAAAACTAAATTTTTATTATAAAAACTTTTTGTTTTCCAAAAAGTTTAAAAAGTGTAAAAGTAAAAGAAAAAATTTTTAATATAGAAAATTTTTTATTTTAAGTTTTTATGTTACGAAAATGAAATGTACTGTAATTAACTTTAAAAAAAAGCAAAACATAATATGTATTTTGTAAATTTTTCTAAAGAAAATCTATTGTTTTTTTATATAAATTTCTAGATTATACAAAAAAAATAAAACTAAAACAAATTAAGGCAATTTTAAATTAAAATAAATATTCTCCAAAAATAAGTTGCAGGAGAAGAAGGGAGAATTATTCAAATGCTAGTAACATTTTTCAAAAAAAAAAAAAACAAAAAGAAAGAAATGTTTACTATGTTCAACCGTTAAAAAAAAGAGAATATATGTAAAAAGTGTTTTTTAACAACACATTGATTTTTTTATACATATGTATAATGCATAATTAATTAAATAATTATGTAATTATATAATCTTTGTTATAATTTTAATTTAAATCTAATTTAAATAAATACAAACAGAAAAACAAATAAAGAAAACCAAAACATTTTATCGAAATGAAAATATAAAATAAAACAACAAGAAAACAAAACTTTGTTATTTTTTTAACTAATGACACTTTTTAGTAAAAGGTTTTTAGTTTTGAAAACTTTAATATAACAATAATACTCACATAATTGCGAAAACCAAGTCAATATATCACTTTATAGGTCCGTAAGCTGTCAAAGAAGTTAGTGTTAGAAGTAAGATTGGAGTTATTAGACTTATTTCGAAAAATTTATGGAAATTTGAACGGTTTATTGTATTTTGAAACAACATTTGTTTGCGTTAAGCCAATTATGTGAGTAAATTCGTTGCAAAAATACAGCCAAAATATTCGAATTAAAGAATAACTATTTTATATAATAAGGAATGCCTTTCAACTTTCTATGTAATTTATACAGTAGGTGATCATTTCTTCTTTTGAATAAAAAAATAGTTAGCTATGAAAATGTAAAACAGTTAGCTCAAATACAAGAGAAATATAAAAAATAAAATAATATGTATGTATTTCAAATAAAAAAATAATTTCAACGAATAAAAAAAAACTCTAATTATAACAACAAGAAAAACCATAAAATATTTAACTAAAGTGTGATCTTTTAATATAAAAAAATTAAAAACTCATTCTTTTATTTAAATTATTAAAAAACCTCAATTCAACTTTTAATAATCTTTAAACAACAAGGTATTCTATTTAATTTTGTACAAAAATATCTTAATTGAATTAAAACAAACTAAAGAAACTATTTTTGATGTCAAAAATCCCCCCCGTAGCTAAGCACCTGTAAGAAAAAAATCCCATACCTATACAAACATACTATTTCTAAATTCCAATTTAATTGTGATTTAAATTTTGAATTTTGATAGTTATAAAATATTTTAAATCTTAAAATAAAATCAAATGTAAAAAAGGAAAACCCCAATAATAAACGTTTAAAAAATGTGTAAGTGCAAAAATAAAGAATTAATTGTTATTTTTGTCTTGAAAATAAATACATATACAAATACAAAGAAAATAAAACAGAAATGTTTAATTTATTTCACAGTATCGTACTTTTATGTTTATACATTTACAACTAGGGGAAAATAAACATATAAATTGGTTTTTAATGAAACACTTGCATATATTGAAAGATGTTTAAATTAACTGAATTTCAGAAACTATTGCATACTTTTTGGATAAAAAACAATGTTTATATAAAAAGTTTGTGGTGAATTTGCTTTATAATCTTTTCATCGCTGTTTTTGTTTTTCGTCAAAAAGCTAAAAAGAGCGGTTAAAAAACAACTTGATTTTCTTTTTATCTTATTACTCACACTCATTTTCGATAAAAAGCTTTACCAAGTGGAATAATAATAAATCCCCAGCAGTTCAGGGGAACAGTCCCGACTAGCTATTTAACCTTAGAGATATTTTAACATGCTTTTTGCTTATTCTTTCTTTTAAGTGTCTTCCCTCCAGATTAATTTGGCTAACAAAAGGAATACTTAAGTGACTAGTGTCTCTCGTTGTCAAGTATTACATTCGTGACGAAGACGAATTTGATCCAACAAATGAATTGACTATTTGACTAACTACTGGGATATTTCTATCCACTTAATTTCGTCAAAAAGCTTACACAGTGAATGTGCCGGTTCACACAGCAATTTTTTTCGCTCAACTTATGACAACTTAGGGAGAGCGAAGAAAGAAATAGACTTATTTAGGCTTTCTACTACAAACTCAAAACCTTGATCAAGAAAAGTTGAGTCGAAATCAAACATTATTTTAAATGAAAAAATAACACAGTCCAACAATATTTAAAAAAAAGTCGAAACTAAATAACAAAGGTTTTAGCTGCACTGGAATCAAGCTTTAAGATATCAAGATATATATCGAAGTAGGAAAAAACTATAACAGAATTTAAAATTTTATTTTAAAATCTACATTATAATTTTTATATGAATCACCGACCAATGTTTCCTTGTGATATAAAAATGCACGATATGTATTTACCTTTCCATAACTGTATTATAATGCTTTGAAAGTATGTATATTATGGAAAAGCTTTTTGCTAAGGGTGAAATAGAGGTGAATAGTAGTTGTATATTTTCATGCATTATTTTGTACAAAGTTAATGAACATAGAAAAAATGCCTATTTTTATGTACATACACAAAAAAAATATACCTAAAAAGGACAAATCAATGTCAAAAAAATTATTTAAAGTAATTTATCGATTTTACTCTCACATGATAAAGTCAAACAACAAAATTATTTTACTAAACATGACGTTTACCCTTGAGGTCGTTCATAATGAATCATTTGTAGTAATAATGATGATAATCAACATTTTGAATTCGTGTGATTTTTTATGAATAAAAACATAAACAAATAAATTAATATATGTACATTATACGTACATACAAGTATTACTTTAATAATATGTTTAAGGAATTGTGAAATAGATACGTCTTAAAGAATAATCCAAAACATCTTTTTTTACCTCACTTTAACTTAATGGGTCTTGATTTCATCAAAGTTTTTCACAACATTAAAGTTACTTTAGTATATCCATACATATAGCAAATTAATGTTTCTTACACTATTATTAAAGTTAACTATTTCTTTATAGAAACCCTTTTTATCCTTACTTATTCTTTTTTGAATGCAGAAGTCTATACCGATCGAATGAGGATTTAATTCAAATAATAATATAAAAACCAGCAAATTTAAATTCCACTTTGAAAATTTTAACTGAGTTCTTTCCGAAAAATTAGTTTTTTTTCCTTTCTTGTAGAAGAATGGAATGGAATTCTGTGACAGACCCCATTATTTGAAATGATTATGAAAATTGAAAATCTCTTTGAAACTTTAAGGTTTATACAAATTTTATTACCCCCTAACTTCATCTACTTTCTAAATGAATCATAATTATTATTAATACAAAAAGTGGAAGAAAATGGTTTATAAATAATGTTCAACTTAAAACTTATTAATTTTGTAAATAAGTTGTGAAATTTTTATATTATATGAATATCAATTTTACATATTTACATTACTCCCTATATCCCAAGATAAATAGATGTTATTAATATAATTAACAGTTTATTTCATTATAATTGAACATATTATGTTTTCTCTATACTTAGTTAATAATTAACAAGTTAAAGTCAAATAAGTTCTACCCACAAAATAAAAAACGGTTAGTTTAATGTTATTTAAAAAATTTTACAATAACATTATATTATTCACTTAGTTACTTAAACATTGGCTTTAAAATAGGAAAATGTTAATTGTTTTTTTTTATACTTCAAAATTTTTCACAATAAATATGTACCACAATTCCCAATCACATACAAAAATACACAAAATCTGGCAACTTTATTGAAATACAACAATGCAATTGACAAACTCATCGAACATTTCTTCCATTTTTTGTCTCTTTCGTGTTTCGTTAAAAAGCTCTCACAGTGAGACAACCACACTAAATTTAACAGCTATCTAATCTCTTCTAGCACATGTAGTTTGCAACCGGCAAAAGAAATTCCAGCATATTGTGCTTTTTTTCAATTGCAAATAAACGTCCTTCAACTGACATTGAAAAGAATCACCCCCCCAAACAAAATAAAAAGCAAACAGCAGAGAAACTGGCAATTCAAGTAGAGCAAAGAAAAACTGCACAGTTTATTCCTTGCTAGCGAGCTGTACGGTCCGGTTGTTTGGAAAAGAAAAAAACCAAGTGTTTAAATACTTTTTTCTCCAGTTTGATAAAGTAAATTAGAAAAAACAAACATGTCTAAGATCGGTATTAACGGTTTCGGTCGCATTGGCCGTTTGGTTTTGCGTGCCGCCATCGACAAGGGTGCCTCCGTTGTTGCTGTCAACGATCCCTTCATCGATGTCAACTACATGGTTTACTTGTTCAAATTCGATTCGACCCACGGTCGTTTCAAGGGCACCGTAACTGCCGAAGATGGCAAATTGGTTGTCAACGGCCAAAAGATCACCGTTTTCAGCGAACGCGACCCCGCTAACATCAACTGGGCTAGCGCTGGTGCTGAATACGTTGTCGAATCCACTGGTGTCTTCACCACCATCGACAAGGCCTCCGCTCACTTCAAGGGTGGTGCCAAGAAGGTCGTCATCTCTGCTCCATCTGCCGATGCCCCCATGTTCGTATGCGGTGTCAACTTGGATGCCTACTCCCCCGACATGAAGGTCGTCTCCAACGCCTCCTGCACCACCAACTGCTTGGCTCCCTTGGCCAAGGTTATCAACGACAACTGGGAAATCGTTGAAGGTCTCATGACCACTGTCCATGCCACCACTGCCACCCAAAAGACCGTTGACGGTCCCTCTGGCAAATTGTGGCGTGATGGCCGTGGTGCTGCCCAAAACATCATTCCTGCCTCCACTGGTGCCGCCAAGGCTGTCGGCAAAGTTATCCCTGCCTTGAACGGCAAACTCACTGGTATGGCTTTCCGTGTCCCCACCCCCAACGTATCTGTTGTTGATTTGACTGTCCGTCTTGGCAAGCCCGCCAGCTACGACGCCATCAAGGCCAAGGTTTTGGAAGCTTCCAACGGTGCCATGAAGGGCATCTTGGGCTACACCGATGAAGAAGTCGTCTCCACCGACTTCGTCAGTGACACCCACTCCTCAGTCTTCGATGCTAAGGCTGGCATTTCCCTCAACGATCAATTCGTCAAGTTGATCTCCTGGTACGACAACGAATTCGGTTACTCCAACCGTGTCATCGACTTGATCAAATACATGCAAAGCAAGGACTAAATTATTACCATCAGAGGGGGAGAACGTACATACTAAATTCGTCTAAATCATAAGAACACTACAGTAACATTTTAGAAATACACGCCAAAATTATTTATCTTAAAGAGAAGCGTAGAGAACAGAACAGGAAGAAGACGCACATCATACAGGAGCCTGAGCATTTACTTTATACAATTGAAAGAATAAGACATTTCAAGTTTGCTGGTCATAACCCAAGTATGGCTTAAACTCCTCAACAACAACAAACCACCTCCTGATTAACAATAACATCATGAAATAATCTAAATTCTCAATACTGTATTCAATAATTATTATAAATTATAATTAGTAGTTATTACTCACACTTATTAAAGTTGATTAAAAAACCAAAATAAATGTTATTTAAAACATTAAAACAAAATTACATTCTTTTGTTTAATTTTTTTTTTTTTACATCAAACTTATATAATTTCAATTGTTCAGGAAAATTCTACACAAATACACATACACACACGAATAAAACTAAAAAAGAGAAAATGCAATTAAGGGCAAAAGAGCGAGCTTTTTACAGAGAAATTGCATCATTTTGTTATTTGAATGTGTTTGTGTAATTGTTTTTAATGCATTTATTTATATATTTCATAACATTTTTGGCTAAATGTGCCGTTAATTAGCTTTGTTCATATTGTTGTTGTAATTTAAATAAAAATTCAAATGGCAAAAACAAACAAAAAACATGTTTTTTTTCTACTGTGTATTATTCTATAATGAATTTTGCCGGCTTTACCACCATTTTGTGGAAATTTTAATTTGTTATCATTAGTTTTGTTATTTGTTGTTTTCAGTGATGTAGGAATATTGTTTATCATGAAATTGCGTTCCAAAGACAAAAGGTCACTTGTATTTGTCATAAAACTTGTTTACCAAAACAAATAAACATTTATTGATTGGTTTAAAAAAGTAGTATTTATGGTCCAGGGGTAGGACGCACATGATTTTGTATGTATTCGCATAGTTCATGGTAGGCGACACGTTTCACTTTCTATAGATATTTTGAAAAAAAAAAACAAGATTTCCCTGCCCCCTACTGAAGACAACAATGTATGGGGTATTTCGATTAACTACACTTAAATTACAATTTCATTTTCTCCCCTATACTTTGCATCATTCTATTTTTAAAAACAGTCAACGACATTAAGCAAATAGGAAAAAATATTATACCTAGTACATACGGAAGTGTATTAAAAATGTTTGTTTTTAATTTTCTTATACAACAAATACACACGTCCATAAATATGTACACATTTGCAGTACGCGCATGTTGTCATTTGAAAATGAAAGTGTGGATGTTAGTTATTCTTATTACCTATACAGAATTATTTAAATATTTTACATATAGAAAATTATTGTTATTTAACATAATCATCAGCTGTATCTCATTAGTTACATATTTAACGAAAAGTGGGTGTGTCTGTTGTTAATAAAGGTCATTTTAAATGTCCTAAACATACGTTTCTATATCTATTATATGGTATTTATGTATTTGCAAAAATAAAAACAAGTTTTTGCAAAAAAAAATATATATTTTTGTATGTATGTATTTTTACTAGAAAAGCTTTTTAAATAAATAAGCTTGGCATCTCTGTTAAAAGAAAACTTAACGAAAATCAGTGATGACAATGTGTTTTAATTTATTCACGAATATAATATATAATACATATTATGTACTTGTTAATAACAATAGCAAGTTTTTTATCCTGAGTAAGAATGTATAATTTTTTCCCTTGTTTCTTAGTTCCGGATTGCTATTTTTATTACCTTAAAACATTTTGATATGCCAAAAAATATAGTCTGCTGAATTTTCAAAAAAAAATACCTATGTGGTAGTAATCTTGATGAGTTCATTTTTCTTAAAATATTTTTCTTAATTATCACTTATTAATTATATCTTGTTATAAAAAGTTCTTACTTAAAACACTTAAATCTTTTTATATGTATGTAATTAATTTTTAGTTGTCGTTTTGTATTCTTTCTTCATCTTTATCAAAACGTGTGTGTATACCATGTTTTATGAAACGTCCAGCAGCAGCTTTATCTAAAACAGGTCTAATGGTATTCCGTTCATAGATTTGTTTGTCGCGTAAAATTGTTTGTCTCACTCGGGACAGTTCATTTTTGATTCCGTGCTAAAATTGAAAATTAGAAAAAATATAAATTAAAGCTATGTATTACAATATGACAGGATTGCTTTTTATATGGTACATATCACTCATTTACTAGAAGACTGGCATAATTACATTACAAAATTTGATTACAAATTGGATTTTAGAATGATACCTATTTGATTTTACCAGAAATGAGAATAATTTTTTATTATATTTTACTTTCAATAATAAATTATAAAATCTCACACAGTCCATGATACAACCATTTTATTGTTATATTACGACACAGACTACGATCGAATGTAATTTGTTAAGAATTGATTTCGAATTGAATTAGCTCTAACATAGCACTACTCCAAAGACACAGAACAATTTTTCACGAATTATAGTTTTATCTACTTTTCAAGGATAGGTATGTGTGTTGACATTGTTGAAATGCCACTCAAATTTTAACATAAAACAGTAACTAAATCTAAGATCTGACTACAAACTCCATAACAATTAAATCCCGAATTTGCTTTTGAAATTTTCTCAACTTACCTCATTCGGATCTTGTCCTTGTAGCTTAACATACATCCAATACAATGAATTAATGGAATAAGCCAAATAGTTGTCCAATTTAACTTTTTCCTCTGTAGATAATTCTTCAAAATCTTTTAAACCCACGGCCGTCAGTATGGAAGCTTCAATTTTATCCATGGAATTGTCGAAATTTTCCACACATTTTATAAATTTTTCATCATTTCGCAGTTCTGCGTAATCTCGGCTTGTAGACATGTTATTTCGAAATTTACTTTTATTTTTGTGAATAATATTTTTGATAAATTTTTAGCAAATTATTTATCCTATTTTTCTAAGACAAATTAATAAAACAGCACGCGTTGAATTGACATTTAGTTTTTCTTCTTTTCTGTTTTGCTTTTCCATTCATTACAAATGGCCAGTATTGCCATGTATACTTTAGAAAGGGAGTAAAGAAAACATACATATATATTTTAAATTATGAAACAAACCATTAAGGTAATAAAAACTAATTTTGACTTTTTCAAATAATCGAATAATTGTTTTAGTTTTGGTAAAAAAATAAAATACATATTTATATAAACATTATTAAGCATAACTTACTGACTATAAACTGCTGCTTTTTTAACTAGGTGTAGCACAATTAGACATTTGTTTCTGAATTGTTTTTTTACTCTGATTTGATTTAGGTGTTATATACATTTAAGGCCTTATATGATATACATTGCAAATTCCTAGCCTTATGCTATATTTCCTCTGGCTTAAAATTTACTAGATTTGCTTAAACCATTTCAATGTGTTTCCACTGACCTTACTCGTTTTTGAAAAACTAGATTTCGACAAGTTTTAAATCAAATCTAGTAGATTAATGATTTGGAAAATGAATGACAAATATATATGATTTCAACTAGTTTTGCCCAAATTCACTACATTCGCTCAAAATGACAATTGTACAATTTTTTACTGTATTCCGTTCGCGTACTTTTGAAAACTTGCATTGAATCACAATTCACTTATAAACACTAATATTCAACATCGTACTCAAAAACATCAAAGGGGATTAACATTAGGTTTAAATTAATTTTTAGATTAACTAATCTGATTTTGGCTCTTATTGAGTTATGCTATGTTTCCATTGGCTTCAAATCTACCAGATTTGCGTAAACCTCTTCGAGGTGTTTCCACTGAGCATACTCATTTTTGAAACATTGTTTTTGGTTTATTAACTTATACATATGAATACATAATAACGGGCTCCCAATACGATGTTGCAACTGGTACTTCTTTGACTTAGAACTTAGAAACATGTAATTAAGCACTTGAGAATCTATAAAAGTGGACTTTTTGGTACTTTTTCGTTCTTCAACTTGTAATATTTGGATTTTCTTTTATAATGAACCTAAAAACATAAAAGTTATAAAATTAAAATCTTAACAAGTAAGAAATTATAATCGGGCCAGGCCGACCATATAATACCCTACACCTGTTACAAAAATGAAATGTGATTTTGTTTTCATAATAAAGCATTGTAGTTGAATTGTACCTTGTCTCAGATATACTTAAGCCATTTATTGTTGAATAAAATTGTGGACATTTAAGTCAAATTTTTGAAGGGGGCTTTGTATAGGTGCTATGGTCAAATGAGACCCTATAATTATACAATTCATGAGAGTCATCAAGGCTAGTATAGCACTTGGTTTTGCAGTTTTTTGTTGAGATACGAGTATATTAAACATAATTATGAATTTAAAAGCCCTATTCGTCGGGTGGGGGGCTAGGTGAAATTATCTTCAAAATTTCGACCTGTAGTTTGATTACAAGGTTTACAAGCCCTATTCAAGTGTTCAGTTGTATGGGGGCTAGGTGAAATAATGGACCGATATTAACCATTTCTAATAGGCTTTGTCTCCGGTACCATAGAAGATCATGTGCCAAATTTAATTGAATTATCTTCAAAATTGCAACCTGTAGTTTGATTACAAGGTTTACATGGACGGACAGACGGACGGACATAGCTAAATCGACTCAGAAAATGATTCTAAGCCGATTGGTATACTTTAAGGTGGGTATAGGACCAATATTATTGTGCGTTACAAACATCAGCACAAACCCAATATACCCTCCCCACTAAAGTGGTGTAGGGTATAATTAACGTTCGGTATAATTGGCGAAATTGCAATAATTTGCGTGGAATCTCCCATATGTAACAAATTGTATATCTGGAAATAAATAAACAAATAAAATATCTTTGTTTTTACGTTATTGATCATTTTCTTAATGCAAAATTTTTTAGAAACTGATTTTCTGCAAGATGTTTTATATGGAATAGGGTTAAATATCGGCAGATCCTAGTAAAGGATTTGTTTTTAATTTTTAAGAATTTTTTATTTATCCCTGCATAATTTCTCATACAACTTTTGAGTTTGCTCTGTTTTGTTGTTATAAACAATATATTTGCTTCTAAAATCCTACTTTCTGATCTCTCGTATTCTGTTTTTATTTAAAATCGTTGAAAAATTAAAAACTAAACGTAGTTGAAAACTTAGCCGGCTTACAGTCGATTTTAAGCCGCCGCCGACATATTTAGTATCAGTCGCCGCCGCCGTTAATATTTGTCGGCGCAGTACTCTAAGTACGACATTTCTTTTTATTTATTTACATTTAGTTTTGTATATCCTCGTTTCAAAAATTTATTTCAATGTTTTATTTTATCTAAAAATTAGATAAAAAATAACATAATGTTTAAGGAAAGTTTTAAATACTATAAATCAAAATGGCCCGTGCCGGATTTTAAAGATGTTATCGATTTTAATAATGATTCCAACCACACAAAGGTAAATTACTTCTTGAATATGTTTTTTTGAAAATAAACAATTTATATAATTTTTATGCGGCAGATAGAGGATTTGCAGTTGAAAGACGATTATGCCCACTTGGGCTTACCACTAGGCATGAATCCGGTACACAAATGGCGTTTGTTTAGGCTTGTAGAGCATCCGGGATTAATTGTTATACGTGATGCATTCACCGCGCATGGTCAACGCTATTGGATGGCTAGGAGTCTAAAAGATTATCCAAAATATCCCAATAGAGTAAATTTAAATGAACGACTTTTCAATAAAACAGTTTTGGACGATTGGTGGTCTTCTTTGCAACAGTGCGATGATAAGGACGAAGCGAGGCGTATGAAAATATCCATGCGCTGGACTACTCTTGGTTATCATCATAATTGGGACACTAAGGTCTATAGCGAGGAATTGCATACAGAATTCCCTGAAGATTTAGCACGTATGACAAATTTCTTTGCCAATGTTTTGGGCTACGACAATTATAAGGCACAGGCTGCTATAGTTAACTATTATCCTATTGGTACTACCTTGGCCGGTCATACAGATCATTCGGAACAGAATTTAGAAGCTCCTTTATTTTCATTCAGGTTGGTTTTATACTGGTAATACAATAGCATTTATTGAACAAGTTTCTTCTGTATTTACAGTTTTGGACAAACCGCTATATTCCTTATTGGAGGCAAAACGCGAGAAGAAAAACCCTCTGCTTTATTTTTAGAAAGTGGTGATGTGCTGGTCATGTCACAGCAATCTCGCCTGTGTTATCATGCCGTACCGCGAGTTATGAAAGCTCGGCAGGAAACGTGGAACATTCAAATGCCAACACCAACGTCACAAAACCAAGAAATAAAAATAGACACTTTACAACCCGCCAAAAAATTGCGCACTGATATAACCTTTTGGAATAACAATGAAATGGAAACAGCTTTAGCATGGTCCATGGATCCCTTGGTGTATGAACAAGTGAGCAACGAATTACATTGGCTGCCCTTTAAAAATTATCTACACGACTCACGTATTAATATTAATGTCAGACAAGTTTTAAATAATCAGCAGCAATCTTTAAGTTGCTGAAGCAAAACTGAAGGATATACCTACTAGTTAAAACATTTGTGTATAATTTATTATTCGTTTATTATATGAAACAATTCAATTACAAATATATATATATATATGTTTTATTTTATCTACAGCAGCTTTAATTTTTATTACGAAAAACTTTAAACTGAGCTACCGACAACATGTAGGGCCGGTATAAATGTTGCGAATGTGTTGGTAATAAATGACATAGACTTAAGAAATCACCTAAAATGGTTCCAAGAATCACAGGCCAAAATAAACGTCCCAATAACGATTTCATAGTTGATGTAGGCTGCGGTGGGGTCTTTTTAACATTTTAATTATTTATTAATAATTTTCTTTTAGAAATTTATTATTTTACCTCTCCAATAGTTTTGCTCATTTTATGGGTTTCTGATGTTTAAAAAGAGTTATCAATGAATAACGTAGCTATTTTTTAATGATTTAGTTTAAAATTTTTTGTTTTTTGTTTTAATTTATTTGAAAGTTATTTAACTGTCTATTTACTTTAGGGTTTACGAATACTTTTTTATTACCTCTACCTCCATAGTAGGGAGGTTTTATGTAAATGTTTATTCCGCCTTGAAACATTTTCTAAATCGTTTAATCGTAGTCCGTCTGTCCCTGTAAGTTCTTATAATTTTCATGATGATTTCATAAAATTTGAAACAAAACTTAAAGCTTATTCTTTGAAATCGATCAATTTTAACTTTTTACAAAATAATTAAGAATATATTGGACCATCTAAAATGGGTTACTATAATTTGATATCGAGATAATTGAATTTTTCCAAATCACACACACATCATGTACACCAACTTTAAAAACCTTATTTAACTTACCCTTTTTATGGTAACTTCGCCTGAAATCCTTTGAGACTAAATCGGCATTAACAGCTCTAATATATATATATATTTTTCTTTCAAATTTTCTATATATTCTCATTTTAATTGTTTTTTATTATTAAATTATATTTAGTTTTTTCCTTGTTTTAAGTTGGTTGTTTTCTTAAGTTTCTTGTTTGTTTGTGTTGCTATGAATGTGTGTGTTTATGTGGATGTGTGTTTGTTTGTTTTGATCTGTTGTGTTGTTGTATTAGCGATCATTCATTATTTTGTTGTTTGTTGAAATTTTACAATTAAATTACAGAAATATAAATATGCCTAAAAATGTTAAGATTTTTATGCATAATCGATTTGTTTTTTTGTTTTTAATAATTGTATATTTTTTGAATCTTTTGTTTTTTGTTGTTGTTTATAAATAATCGTAAAGCTACTTAATGTATATAATTTGTTTATAATTATAATTTATAATATATGATTTTTTGTTATTTTTTCATTTTTATTTATTTATTTATTTTACTTCTTAATAATGTTAATTTGTTTTATATTTTTCTTTTCATTTTTTTTATTTAGAAATATTTTTGTTGTATTTGTTTTGTTTTATTTTTTTTTTTAATATATATGCATATAATGTATAATTATAATTGATAATCAGTTATATTTATTTATATGTATGTATATATATTTTGTTTTATTTATATTTTTTAAGTTTAATTTTGTTTACTGCTTTATATTGTTGTTGTGTTAGGAGTTGGGTTGGGGAGGAGGGGGTGGAGGATATTTCTATATATATCAATATTATTAATAGTAATAATAAAAAAACTACTAAAAATTGTTTTTGTTGTTGTTTTTTACTTTACTTGTCTACTATGTATATTATATAACAGTATAAATTTTCTTTTCTTTTTTTTTTTTAGCAAATTTGTTAACATCATTTGATTTTTTTGTTTGTTTTTATTTATATTTATAAGAAAAAAATCATAATCATTTTATAAGAACAACATTTAGTACAATAATTATAAATAATATTAATAATAGAAAAAACTATACAAATAATACAAATGCTCTAAGTATGAAGCGTCCTATTTACTAAAAAATAATATTATTAATAATAAAAAAGAAAACATAATAAAATATTTTTATATTTAATATATTTTTGTATTTATTATTATTATACCAGACCAATAATTGGTAGTTTCTTATTATTATTTTTTTATTTATTTACTTTTCTTTTTGTTACTAGTTGTAGTATATAATATTGCATACAAGTTTTATATACTTTGTTAGATTTTTTGTTTTGTTTTTGCTTTTAATTTTATTTTGTAAATCAATTTTTCAATTTGGAATTTAAAAGTTCTTTTTTTACAAAAGGATGTTTTTGGAGAGGGTTAGGTAGATAAGAGAGGAAGAGAATGAAGCAGGGAGTGGGGGAGGAAAATTGTTTTTTTTATGATAATTTTTATAATATTTTACGATTTTTACATTTTTTTCTCATTTTTCATTCTAAAAAAATATTTTTTTAGTTAAATAATTAAAAAAGTTGTTGAAAAAATAAAATTATACACAGTTGTTGTTTTTTTATTTTAGTAAGGGAAGTAAGGGAATAATTGTGTTTTTGTTTTTGTTATTTTATAATACAATATGTTTCTTTTAAAGATTACTTGGTCTCTTTTCCGATTTATTTATAATATATTTCAGTTTTTTTTTTTATTTTTTCTTTTGATATCTCTAACTTTAGTGTTTATCATTTAATTTGGAAAATTGTTATTAAATGAAGTTAAACCTTGAAAGCTCTTTAGTTTATCATCGGCCGGGTTGGGCACTTTGGGGTGCGGGTTGTGGGGGTGCCATAGTCATTACACCCGGGGGTGGGCCACCCGGTTCTTCTTTTTTAGGCGCCAACATTGGATCTACAACCATGGGGTGTGGCATGCCACCCATAGTGGGTGGCTTACCTCCTAACGTAGGTGGTGGTCCCTGTTGCGGTTGTCCCATTGGTACAGGTTGCATACGATGATGTGGAGGTGGTGGCGGTCCTAATGGTCCGACTACTCCTGATGGTGGCGGTATGGGTGATGGTTCTTTGCCTCTTAAATGAGCGGCTGACTGCACTGCATACATACTCATTGCGGCTTTATGTCGTTCTTCCTCGTGTCGCAACGCCACCTCCATTAGAGGATTGTAACGCAGAGCACTCATTCCGTAAGGATCACGATATGGATCCATAGGCCAGCCTGGTGGCCCGGCTGGACCAAAGTGTGATAGTGGCGGACCTCCCAGACTGGGAGGCATCATTTGTCGAGCCAAGTGTGGGGGAGGAGGTACCCCATGAGGACCGTGACGACTGGCCATAAACGAAGCATGATGAGCTGCAGCCGCTGCATTGGCTTGGGCCTGAGCTAGCTGATGTTGATAGCGAGGATCAGCAGCAGCTGCTGCTGCCGAAGCTCTCATCATCATGGCATCTTGCTCTTCTTTTGTTCGTGGCATTTCTTCTTTAATTCGCATCTCTCCGCCTGGACCACCTGGGCCTCCCTGCATATCTGTTACACTGCGATGGGGAGATCGCTCTCGAGCCGAATTCATAGCAGCAGCTGCTGCCGCCGCTTGTGACAATTTATTGCTCTCGTTAATACGCTGTTGTTGCAACATTCTTTCTCTTTCCATTTCGCGACGCTCCATTTCTCTTCTTTCCCTTTCTTTGCGTTCGCGCTCACGTTCTCTTTCGCGCATTTCTCGTTCCTGTTGTTCACGCTTCAATTTTTCTTCTTTCTCCTTACGTTCTCGCTCTTCGCGTTCGCGTTGCCTTTGTCTATCTCGCTCTCTCTGTTCTCTTTCGCGCATTTCTCGTTCTCGTTCACGTTCTTCGGCCTCTCGGCGCGCATTATCCAAGGCCGTTGTGTCTGGTTTCATTGGCCATCCCGGTGGTGCTCCTGCCGGATGATAAGGCACTGTGCGTTGTAAAGCAGCTCTAGAAACACAAACACAGAGTTTTGTTAGTGCAAATAGACAATGGGAAGGAATTATTAAATAAACTTACGTTCTCCAGGGATCATGTAAAGCACCGCCTAGGGGTATTTCTCTACCAAATGGTGATAAACCAAAACCAAAAGGACCCACATAGCGGCCAAACGGAGAAACTGCAGTACCTTTAATACAAAAATTATGTTACATATTACAGAAATTATATACATATCTAAAGTTTTCACGATAATAAATATTTAAAAATAGTTAAAAGGTTAATTTAACAAACTTACCTATATGACTAGGTGGTGCACCAATGAAACTGGCCGATAACGGGGAAGTTTCAAATGGTGAACGCCCAGGTAGTGCTGTGGCATAAGCGGTTCCTGGTGGCAATTCACCTGGTCGATGCAATAGATGTGGCGATGCTGCTGCACTTAACGATAATGCCGGAGAAGCTTTCATACTCATTGCCGATACAGCTGAGGGAGAAGGACCTGCTCCTAGATTTGAAGAAGCTGTACTGGTTTGAGATACAGTAGCTGTTGGTGTAACACTGCTACTACTACTGCTGGGCGGTGCACCTGGCGTTGTACCACCACTACTCGCCGAACCACTAGCTGCAGCCGCTGCCAATTTATCGGGATTTTGTTTGTTTTGATGATAGTAAATTTCCCACGCAATACGAACATGCATTGCATTCCATCGTCCAGTTTTCTATAAAAACAAATATTCAAATCAATTATTTTGAATAGAAAAATATTTAAATTGTTTATTTAAATTAATAATTAATTATTAGTATTTAGGCTGTGAAAAATTTAAAAGTCGAATGAGTGAAAGAAAAGATTCCTGTCTCTTTGCTGACAAACTTCTAGAACTCTTTTCAATTTATGATGGAGGAAAATGAAACACATACCGTAAACTTAATGGATTTGGAAGAGGAATCTACAATATTAGTTGGTAAAGGCGGTTGAGGTTGTTGTTGAGGATTTGTGGAGGGCGATGGTTGTATCGTCTGGAGTTTGGTGGATGAGTTTTCGAGTTGGAGGTGGATAAGTGGATGGATGGCGATGGATAGTGTTGATGACAATTACAAGGATGATGAGTATAATTTTTGTTTTTTTTTTGGTTTAATGAACATGAAAATGAGGAGGAAACAATGGTTTTTTATTGTTTTAAAAGGATTTTAACAAAAAAGAAATTATGATGTTAGGAATGACAGCAAAGCTTATTAAAAGTGGAGAATATTGATATTTTACTTTTGTTTTTTTTTTTTTTTTTTTGTATGAAACATACCTTTGGCGCAAATGAAGTTAAATGGCTGGGAGGCATAAACGGAGTAGCGCCACCCAAGCCAGGATGCAAGAGACCAGCTGGCGTATAACCCGTATAGCCGGGCAAACCAATTCCCGTACGATAAAAAGGTGATTCAACGGCGGCAATCTTGGGAATGTCTTTGAATAGTGGTGGGGGAAAGAGGGGTGCCGGGGCTGGAGGAGGTGCTGCCGCCAAGGCTGTTGGCAAAAGTTGTTGATGCTGATGCAAATGAGTGTGCTGATGTTGATGATGATGCAATTCTTGCCTTAAGTAGGGAGAAGGAACAGCAGCACTTGGAGCATGTGGTGATGGACCTGATGGGGGACCTGTTCCGCTAGCTGTAGAAACGGGTGGCGCTGATGTTGAGGCTGAAGGCGAAGCTATTGGGGCGCCTGGTGGCGGAGCGGATGTTGAGGTTGGTGGCTGCTGCTGATGTGTATTTGGTTGTGTAGGAGGAGGCACCGCCAAGCCACTACGGTCTAGAAACCGGTTATCTAGCTCTCGTCGTAATAAATCCGCTTGATCATCTAGCAGAAATGAAGTTTATTATGAAATTAGTAAAAATAATAAATAAAATCAAACAGAACTTACTTTTGCTTGGTTGGAAGAGAGATTCAGCCGAAAAGGGGTGTGGCGCCGAACTTTGTGTTGTTGTAGTTACTGGAGCGCTATTTGCGGTACTTGATACTGCAGGAGACGGAACAGACGTTGGAGTGGAAGAGTGAGAACTAATAATAGAACTAACTGGCACCGACATTGATGAAGATACCGCAGGATGAGGTGGCATGGGAGGCACAAAATATTGTGGATGAAATCCTGTGGAGCCAGGTGGTAGTCCGGGTGGTGGAATACCAGAAGAGGAATGAAGTGTTGGTGTATGCGGTGAAACCGAAATAGGCGGTGGCAATCCTCCTGCAGAGCTTGTGGGAGGAGGCGGTGTTGGTCGTGTAGCCATAGAAGAGGAGGAATGAGTTGTAGCCACCGACGTAGGTGGTGGAATCGACAACGACGATGAGCTTTAAGATTAAACATTTAAATTAAATAAGTTTATTATCAATCACATCGAATTGAGATTTTTAAATTAACTCACCTTGGTGGCCACATTGAGGGTCCTTTAGGTCCTGGCCCGTATTGTAAACTACCCGGCGGTGGTTGATGCAATTGCGTTGTCATCATCGGCATAACACCTGAGGCGTGTGTGGTTGTAGGCAACGAAACCGTGGAACTATAGGAGGCATTTGATGAAATTGCCAACGAAGCAGCAGAATGTGGTATGGGCAGCGGCGGAGCTCCACTCGTTGTTACGTATGGCGATGACGACGACGATGGTGGTGGTGCGGATGATGCTAAGGAGAGCCCGCCACCTAAATGAGTATTGGCAGTTGAGGAGCGCGGTAAATAAGTAACATTGCCCTCATTACGCTCCTTTGGCGGACTTTCAGTTTGTGGTGAAATTCCTTTGTGAATCACAGATGTAGATGACGAAGATGTTGGTGTAGTCGTTCCTATACTGGATGGTGGTGGTTGACTACTGCTGCTGCCGCTGTTAATGGATGTTGTGGGCGAGGCTCCTCGCAGCAGAGCTGGATGAGGTGGCAGCATGTGAGGGGGCAATGGTGGCATATGAGGAGGCGCCAAATGTGGATGTCCCAACAAATGAGGATGAGGTGGTGCCAACAATTGCGTACCATCCCTGGTCAAAGGCGATGAGGGCGGCAGACCGCTTGCTCCACTGCTTAACGTAGCGCTGAGGGGTGTCGACGCCGATGTGGTTGTTGTTACATTGGCTATACTGTGGGCAGAGTGCGACACCGATGGATGTGGTATTAAACCTGCACCAACCGATTGGTGGTGCGATGGTGGCAAGGGACCACCTAAAATCTGCGGCTGCAACTGCAACGACTGAGGATAAGGAAGATGTGGGTGGTGCAAAATATGGGGAGCCATTGAAGATGTTGGCGGCAGTCCATGCTGACTTAGATTTGCTGATGATGAGGCTACCGAAGTTGGGGTTGGCACTGTTGTGGGTGTGGAACTAGTAGGCGTACTCGATCCACTGCCACTGTTACTCACCGGTCCTGGAGTGTGACCCGAACTTGAGGGTTGACTTACTGGCGTTGGTGGCCGCAGACTTGGAGGTTTCGACATTTGCTGCATCATGGGAGATTCTCGACTTGTACGTGGCGAGGCACTTGGCGATGGCACTGCAGGCGGCAAATATGGACTGTGTGGCAAACCACTGTAGGGAGCATAAAGTGGATAATTCGGATAGGGCGGGCGATATGGCGACGAATGCAAAAGCATTGGTGAAATACCATTTGGCGGCATGCCACCCGGCATCATTCCAGGTGGTGCAACACCAGGTGGTAAGCCAGGCGGTAGACCTCCGGGAAAAATTCCTGGCGCAGTTTGCATGGGGGGCATGCCACTACTACTGCTTGAGATGGTTGAGAACTTTGCCATGGATGTGACAGTGGAGTGGGGAGCAGCTGTTGAAGGTGGATGTGATGATGGCATCGAAGAAGCCAACGACGAAGCATGAAAGGAGGCAGATGATGTTGTAGGTAATGACGATGGTTTACTACTTGCTGCCAACGAAGACTGTTGCTGTTGTAGTTGCTGCTGCTGCTGCTGGTGATGGGGAGGCGGCAAACCTTGCGGTCCAGGTGGTGTAGCTGTGGATGACATTGCATTTGGATGCGGTGAGATCCTGGAGGCACCACTGTTTTGCGGATGCTGCCCAGCACCACTACTGGCAAATTGCGGCAGATAACCATTCATCATGGGAGGGGGCGCTGCAGGACCGCCATGACCAATGCCATGGGAACCTTTCTCTCGATTTTCGGCCTCATTTTGCTTCATCGACATCAGTGAATGCTGTTGCTGCGTATTTGCACTGGAATGCTGCAGGGAGGAGGGAGGGAATGGATGCGTTGGAGGTGGAGGACCGAGTCTGCTATTTATCGATCCAGGGGCACTAAAACCTCCAGGTGGACCAGCCATTATATTCGTACCAGTCGACGAGGGGGGCATTTGAGCACCGGGTGGCAACTGCATATTTGCTGGAGAGTTTGCAGTCCCTTGGGAAGAGGGATGCCCAGACTTTTGATGCATGCCTTGCAAAGGCGACGCATTCGATTGAGATGATGGTGGTATTGGTGCAGGAGACATGAGATTACCAGTTACAGGAGATGGAGAACCTGCCAAATGCTTGTTCCCAAATGGGCTATCACTAGAGGCATGAGGATGTTGTTGCGAATGCGGCGACGGTAAAGGACCAGATGGCGAGGGAGAAGTCAGAGCATTGCGAGGATCATTAGGAAGCTGTAATAAAAATAACATATTGATAATTGTACTAAAATTAATAAAACAGAAAATACCTGATTGGCAGAAGAAAATGCAGGCGGTATATGAGAAGAATGGGGAGGACCTAATGCCGGTTTTTCGCCCCCAATATTTGGTGGTCCGGGTGGCGGTGTTGGTCCAAACATTGCATGTGGTGGCAACGAAGACATCATCATATTACTGTTATTATTCGACGATAAGCTTCCTGCAACACCGCTACCTCCTGCAGACGGTGGTCGACCATCGTGTGGATGCAAATGTGGTGCATGCGAATGTCCCGTCGTTGTACTGCCACCCTGGGGTATCGATGACGTTGATGCAGTGGATGTTGAGAGAGCAACGCCAGCCACACTTGTGGGCGGTAGACCGGGAAATGGTGAGGGCGGAGCTGAATTTTGCTCATTATTACCGGATTTTTGCACTAAATTGGCGCTACTAGCAGCAACAGAACTAGAGGAGGCAGGTGTTGTGGTACTTGACGTTAAACTCGTTGTCACGGATGAAGGTGCTGCTGTACTAGTCGCCTGTTGGGGATAATCGGATGATTTTCGAGGAGTTGTTGGACTTGGAGTTGTATTTGAAATTTGTTGAGTGGGCGTAGAAGGAAAAACTATGGCTCCTAACTTATCAGAACCCTATAAATAGAATGAAATGGTTAATTTTGTTATTAAAAAATTAACATTTTAAACGTAAGATCAAAAGTTTTGGTGAAATCTCCAAATTTAATAGTAAACATTTTCATTCCTTGTGCCCTACATTTGAAATGGATTTATTTTAAGAAAAAAAAATGTGTTTGTATATTAAAGCTTCTCATGAAATTTTAGACGGCGAGAAAAAAGAAAACAAAATTCCAGCGATGATGATTGAAGCGTGATGTTAAAGGTTATCTCTGAGTGTCTGTCGGCATATCTGTTGGCCTTGTTGGCAATTTTTGTCGAGGAAAAGAAAAAACTCACCTTTTGCACTGTTGATGTAATTGCCATTGTTGCTGGTGATGAGGATGATGATGCGGCTGCTGATGCTGGATACGAAGATAACAAAGACGATGTAATTGTTGTTGTTGCAGCGTTGCATGAGGATGAGGACGCTGACGAAGTTGTTGATAATGAGGACATGGGTTCACTGCTAGAGGTGGTTTTTGAACCACTTGCTGCTGTTGTTTTAACGACGTTGGATAATGATTTTGTGGGTACTGCTGCTGCTGTTGATGATGATGTTGTTGCAGTTTTTGTTGTTGTTGTAAATTTGCTTGTTTGTTGCTTTTGACTATTTCCACATGTTGTAGCAGTTGTTGATATTGAAGATTTCGATGAAGATGAAGTTGCCGCCGTCGTTGCAGTAACAGAGTTGGATGACGTAGATTTTTTTGAAGTTTTGGAAATCGTTGCTGAGCCAGCAACTGCAGCAACGGCTGTTTCGGCGGCAGCAGCAGCACAAACACCATCCTGTTGCTGTGCATTGCTACTGGAAGACTCGACTCGTACAATAATCGCTATTTTGTTAACTTCTCTCGAATGTTGTACCGTAAATTTTCGATTTTTTTAAAAAAATATTTTTTTAAAAAAATCAAAAATGTAACGGCTTACCAACACTACTTACTGCCCAATTAATCACAGAAAATTTACAATTTTGCAAGATTTATTACAAAATTTCTTTTTTTTATATTGTTTCCAACAGCAGCAGGTTTGATTGACTTTGATTTGAAAACTTTTATTACAATAATTCCGGCAATATTTATCGTTTAGTTTAAGGGTTTTTTGTGTTTAACTTTTTAAAGTTTTAAATAAAAATTTTAATTAATTTTTAATACAATTTGTAAAATTATCAATTAAAATTAATTTGATAAACACCACAGACGTCCACCAGAGTTAATGAAGAAAAACACTGTTTGAATATTTGTAAGTTGTAGATATGTTTGCTTATTTAACAACTTGTCGTCGTAGTTTTTAAGCACTTAATAGTGTCTTTTAAGTGTCTCTATAAAAAATTAAATACATGGCGTCGACACATTTTTGATGATTTGATTTAATGGGATTTCATTTGACTGCGCGGCTTTGGCACTCTTTTCTGTATTTGTATTTTGTTTTAACATTAATTGCACAAATTTATAATGATTTTAATGGTTCTTTATTTAACAAAAATTTTAAATGTTTCTAAGAGATTTCTATAAAAAATTAATAAAATAAATTTTTTTAGTATTGCACATTTTTTTTTTTTTTGATTTAGTCAACTAGATTAATATCAGTCGGTCACAAATCCGTCAAAATATTTGAAATCGTTTTCCAGATGCATATTAGCCATTTTATATTTTGTTTTTGAAATTTGTATCGTATTTAATCAATTTGTATGTTTAAATTTTCAAATAAACTATTAAAATTTATAATCGTTTTATCTAAACTAACACTCCCTTTCGGTACTCCCTGTAAAATAAAATAAACTACAACAACAACTATGTATAATATCGCAATTTCTGATGACAAAACAAAATTTATACAACTGGGTGCGGTTTCACGAATAAGTCACTTAAGGTAAGTAAAAATCTCCCTGGTTTTAAACATATTTCTTACTGACCAGTTAGTGCAATATTTAAATATTGTATATAATTTGAGAAAGCAACGGACGACAGTTTGCAAAAATTCTGTAATAGAACAACTAATGGTTGGTTGACCAAAGCCATTTTCATTTATATAAACAGTGAAAAAACAGTAACATACAAAAGATACATTTTGTAGATTTCGCCTAGAAATTAATAAATCGAGAAAAAAGTAACTACTTTGTGTGGACTTAAGTAGTAAAGTAGTTGTATTGTAGTTACTCATACACACGCAACGCACAAGTCCATGGTGGTAGAATACTCTGTCATTTGAATCTACAGAAAAGTAAAACAACCAACTAAATACAACACAGGTCTTATGTTATCTTAATATCAAAGCTTTGCGCATTTATAATACCCTACAACATGCATATAAATATTGGTACAATGTACATATATAACTGGAAATAACTCACATGCTGCAAATCACTTTAATTTGTATAAATACCTTTAAAATTTTGGTATTCAGATCAATAGAAAATCGATCGATCAAAAAAAGGATTTATATCAGATTCAAAATTTTGTAAAATTGCAATTTTGATTATCATATGTATGTATGATATACATACATATGTTTGTATGTATGTATACCTTTACAACAAAAACAAGCTATGTTTTGGGAAATTAGTTTATATCGATGTAGGGTATCATATAGCTTGCTTCAAAATATACTATTCTTTTTTTTACTTTTTCAATCTTTTAGCTTTGTTGTTCTAAACCAGGGTGATTTTCTATTTGATGAAAGAAAACTAAATAAAAAAACACATTCACTTACAAAAAAATAAGGAAAATACTAAATAAGAAGAAGAAAAAATAAGAACAAACAAATACAACAAACACACTTAAGCTATGTATATTATGGTGCAACTGAGTAAAGCACTTAATTAGAGAAGCGATTACTTTAGTACTTGGATGCTTAAGCTGTTGTATGTTGTACTCAGCTATTTTAAGCTTTCTCTCAGTGTGTCTCTGTTCGTTTTTTGTTTAGTAATGACGGTTCTTTTCAAAAAATTCTTTGATTCTTTTTTTTTTTCTGTGAATAGTACTTTTTTCTATTTATAAAATGTAGATATAAGATATTTGTATGTAAAATGATTGTAACACAAAATTTTACATACATATAAAGAGTTGCCAGATGATTTTCGCATTGGAATTAAAAACTTATTTACACATACAAAAGGTTAAAAATCTAAACGTGCCAAATTGTTTCATTACACTTTTATAGAAAAGAAATGAAATATGAATTTAAATAAATTAAGGTCTGTACATTAAATCGTGCATTAGAAGTTTAAAACTTTGATTGAATAATACCCACATATAACCGTAAAAAATATAGGGCTGAAATAGCCAATTATGGACCAATTGTTACAAAGATCATGTAATATGGTTTTTGTGACTAATTTTAGATTAAAATATATTAAAATATATTTTGGAGAAATCGTGGGCATCATTGTAGTGGATATCATTGAGGATCAAAATATGTTAATACCCCTCCGTTCAGTAGAAAAACTGTGAGACAAACTAAAAAACAAATTTCTAAACTTTTCTCTTGTAAACAAAATTATTTTTGGATTTTTTGAGAAATTTCTTGGGAATGCCCTCTTCTAATCCAGTAGAAGAATTTTTCGCTGCATAGATTTATTTCTGTAAAAATCGTATTAAAAGAAAACAAAACAAAAATATAGGTACCATGACCGTGATTAAAACGGGTGTTCATTGGTCCATTCATAGTAGTTTTTCATGTCTGATGCTTTAATATTATGTTTCGACTCATGCGAATAGTGAAATATTCCGTTCTACTATTATTCCGAACTTATTATCAAAGGACCAGACATAAAATGACGGATTTCTCATAATATACAAAATCCGTCATAATCCTAAATATTGCAGAACTATTGCCATTATTTATAAATCGAGGTTCATAGGCTACAACTTTTTTGAGTTTGAGTAGCTTCATCTACAAAGATGAGCAACAAAATTTGAAGAGTGCGATTAAGTATCAATAAAAATTTAACTGATTAATATTATACTATGAACAACGACTTTCTTCTCTTTTTCCCCTGCACAAATTTGTAGTAATTTTTAAAACTTTTAATTATTATAATTTTTAATTAAAATCCAATCAAGTACTACCCAACTCTTACAACTTGCCAACAACAAATTAGCTTTTACAACAACATCTCCACCATAGAGTAGGCAATTTATTAAATACCTTCTAGGAATAAATTACTTATTTAATTAGTCCGGTAACATCATTATTAAAGGTATGAAGCCAAAAGGCATTAAAAACTGCTTATAAAAAGCAACAAAACAACACAAAAAATCAAACCAAAAACACACACACAAAGTGAGAAGTATGGAATAATAATATTAAACAACAAAAAAACCGACTTGTCGGCATGTTTCTCGTAATGTTGCACTGCAACGTAATTAACACTGTAATCCGTACCGATTATAAATTAAGACAAATTGATGGAGTGTGTCGACGAGGAGGTATTATAAAAGTTTTTTGGCAAAAGTCCACACACACAGAACACACAAACATTCACTAATAACAAAAAAAAAAACACAAAATGAAATGAGAAAAAAGGAAAAAAGCACACACAAACACTTATATGTTCGCTCAACTCATAAAAATGGTAATGTATGGATGTGGATGGTTGGTTGGATAAATGCCTGAAACAGGAAGGGTCGGTCGGCCGTTTGTACGTTTACAAAATAGAGGCGTATTAATATTAGAAGAAGGGGTCGCTGGGGTCGGGTGTGTATGAATTGAATGGTGTATTAAACGCACATAAGAGCTTTAACAAGTAAAATATTAAAGAGAATAAAAAAACAAGAAAGCGTGGAAACAAAAAAACAAACAAAATAATGTGTAGAAAAAAGTGGTGTTTGCAAATAAATTCACAACGGGCAGCAGCAATATTAAGCACAGCAACAACAACAATAATAATAAAAGAAAGAAAAAAATTACACAAAACCTCAGTAAGTCGTCGTATGCATAATACCCCCCAGACTTGCTACTACTCGTTCATAAAATTT